GGTGGGCGTGGACGAGACGGCCTTCAACGCTGAAGGTGACGTCACTGAAGGCCTGACCGTTGATGAGAAGGTTCAGGTAGTCGAGGGAGAGTGACCGCAGGGACTCGTCGGGGCTCATCGTCGTCAATTTTTTTTCAGTGCGTGTTTGTGTGTGTGTGTGTTTTCTTGTTTGATGGGTGCTATAAGTGTGTGTTTCTGTGTGTTTTTTTTTTGGGAAGATTTAGAGAAAGAGAGGAGTTTGGGGCCTTGGGGGCTGAGTGTTGATTTAAGCTATCTTTTTTCCTTTGGGTTTTAATTTAATTTAATTTTATTTATATATATATATATATATTTTGGATTCAACTCCTTTTGGTGGAGTGTGTATGTACTGATTTTAAAAAAAAAAAAATTGTGAGGGAGATGAGATTATGACAGATTCTCTCTTTTGCATATATGGTGGTGTGGTAGTGGAGATGTGATATTTCTTGAGAGAGAGAGAGAGATGGATGAAGTATAAATGGGTTAGATGGGCGGCTGAGATTTTTTTTTTAATTATTTTTATTGATATTTGAAAAAAAATTATGTTTTTTTGTTTTTTATTATGTATGTTTTATAATGGAACGTGGATTAAAATACGGGATTAATTAAGAAAATGAAATTTTACGAGTTATGGTGTGGTTTATATTATTTATAAAGAGGATAATTAAGCATGGGTGTTTTTATTTAATTTAACAAACTCACATTGACATTGAACATTACACTCAAGAATGAGAAACTGTTAACACCAATATTTGATTTTTATTTTATTATTTTTTTATCGGTAATTAGGTTTGTATTTTTATTTGAAGTCTCGTGGAACCCCTAATTAATGGTCTATGATACAAATGTACCAAATAAATCGGTAGAAAAGTGGAGTTTTTTTGTTGATATCCCATCGCCAGTTAGTTCTCTGATTGACCTACAAAGCGTCGAAAGAGTTACAAACGTAAATTCTTCAACGAATAAGTCAATAATGAAAAAAAATATTTATAGAGAAAAAACTGATTATTTTCATCGGGAAATACTTAGAGCATGTTTGTTTATAAAAATTTTTGGTTTTGTTTGAATTTTTTAGTTTGGTTTGGTTAATTTGAAAAAAGATGATATAGTTAGTTGTTAGTAGATATATAAAAATAAAATTTGAAATAAAATAATTAACGTTGATTTGATGTAAAAGTAGAAGAAAGACGATTTGAAGTGATGATCAGTTAAAATAATATGAGTAGATGAACAGTGAATTAAGGTTGATAGAGTGTGTATGAATAATTGATTGATATTATTTAATTATATTGATAATATTGATGATAGTGATGTTGAGTTAAAATTGAGTTAAAAAAAAGTAATGGAGTTAAAATGTAGGAATTTTTTTGAAAATTTCTAAAAATAAACATATCGTTGGAGCTAAATAAATTTGTGATGTTCGAGCTAACGTGCTCATATACCATAAGACGTTCGAGCTAAATAAATATAAAAAAAAAAATATGTCACTCGAGCTAACAAAGGATACCATATCGTTGTTGTAATGCGCTTTATACTGCATAAGTACAAATAATTTGTGAAATATACACACATTTAATATCCGTAGTATTTGACTGAAGAGTCAAATAATTTTTTACTATTTTTGAACAAGTTTCTAAAATTTTTAATAAATTTGATTAAATTAATGGATACAATTATTATTTTCTTAATGCCAATGACGTTTGTGGAAACAATTTAGGTCAAGGCATGAATACTCTTACTTAATTAGTGCTCTTCATTCAATAATTCCTTGGAAAATGTAGTTTCAATCAGATGCCACTTACTTCTTTTATGCATTGATATCCGATGTTTTTTATAGTATTCATCAACACCTTTGGATTGTATATTTGTATGGCAGTTTTTAGTTCATCTATATTATATACAATGCTTAATTTATATATCATGGACTTTATATTTGTGTCCTTAAAAAAATTTTGAACGCTAAAATATTCTTTAAATTACATAATCAATCAATCAATCTTAATTTTTTAAAAATTACTATGTTTACTTTTTATTAATATGCATAAAGTAAAAATAATTAATTCATCTTTAGATATATAATTTATAGTCTTAATATACTATCATTTGGTAGACATTTATTATATGAATCATAAAATATTTTTATTTCATAACATTAAATATATTTAAAGAAAATAAGAAAATTTCTTTGAATCAATCGGGTGATTGAATTAAGGTACTGCCCAGGTTGATTGAATTATTTTTAGGTGATATTTAAAATAGTTAAAAAATTTAACACAACTTGGTTGGTCCCAGGTGACTAAGTTATGTATCAGTTCGACCACACCAAGTCGATTATTGAACCTAAATATAAATTTTATATTGAAAATATTTTATTACATGAAGGTGATGTAGTCCAAATTTCAAATAATCGTATTAACAATACTTTTATGACAACATGTTTAATGATTTATGAATATTTGTATATCATTTTATCAAATATTTTTGTGAATTAAATAATATTTTATTATAATATTTATTAATGTACAATAAATATAAGGTTTTCAGAATTGAACCGTTATTATATTGAAACGATCAAGCTATTTTATTAAATCATTTGTGGTCTGTTCACATTTTAATTTATAAGCATTTTAATATATATATATATAATACTTTTGTAATAAATTTGAATAAAATGTGTTACTTAGATATCTAAACAATTTAAAAATTCAAATGTTTAAACTAATTGATAAATAATTTATAAATCTCTATTTTATTTAAGATAATTTTAATATAACAAAATTTATTTAGAAAATCGTATCGATCCTACCAGTCCAACCGACTGGTGTTGATGGATTCAAGAGCAAATATTTTATTCAAGCGAACTAGATTGGTTATAAACCGGTTCTCGGTCCATCCGGTCGGAGTGTGTCTAACCCGGTTTAATTTAAAAACAATAGATAAATCATGATCATTGTTATTTATATATTTAATTTATAATACAATCGTAATATTGTTTTCCCGTGCATCGCACGGGCCACACACTAGTTATGATTAATAATACTCTGAACAAGTAAGAAGTTTATAGAATTTAAAATAATATAACAAACTTTTTGTAGTATTTATTTTTAATTCAAATTAAAATATATAAGTGATTTTACTTTTATATGATCATTAATGTTATTCTTATTAAGTAATTGTTACTTGTACTTTTTATCTCCAATTTTTTTACTTGTCATGTATAGGAGATTGACTCTATTATATAGTCAATTATTGACTTAATAGCAAAACTAACTAATGGAATTTATGGATAACTATGCGAAACTCACACAAACACAATTGCATAGACAAACAACACGTAGATACGATCTGAAACAGGAAATGGAAAATACAAAAAAAAAATTTAGTAATTAAATTTGAACTTGTTATCATATGTATGATCAAATAGCATAGATAACACGATAGTGATGTAAAATTTTAGAGAGAGAATAGAACGAGTTTGAGAATCGCCATTTTCACCAACAGATTTTTCTTATTGCATGAAATGAACAAGACGAGCTATTTAATGAGCTCATGCAAGTACAACGACATCGTTTTGTTCTCAGCACTCTTAAACTAAAAACGCCACCGTTTTATTAAAACGCAACAGCAAGAGAAAGAAAAAAAATAAAAGCACGCGACACTTGACAACAACAACTACACGAAGATAAAAGTGCAGGCTCGATGCTCGACCAAGTATTCCAACAAGTGAAGTACGAACACAGTACTATAACGCCATTTAGCATTATATAATTTTATTTGACAAATTAAGGAGGAGAAATGTAGCAAAATGTTTATAGAGAAAAGATGGGAAAAATTTATACAGAACAATAACTTGAACAAACAAGTGATTAATCAAGTTTTTAGTGTTTGTATTGTTGGGAGGTGATAGGAATATACATGGGACCGTGAGAATATAGTATCAGTCTGTAGAGTTTGTCGGCCGGGTCTGATGTGGGTCATTCTCATGACCCGGTAACTAAATCGACCCAAGAAATTAGTGAGAGTTGGACCTGATCAAATTAAATTAATTATCCTTTCCCATTTGGATACTTTTGCTACAAAAACCCAATTTTAACTAAAAGATAAGTCATATTTAATTTGAACTCTCCTAATAATCTTCTTTTTCATCTATCTTCAAAATGACACTGAATAGAAAACCTTATAACATAAAATAACATAACCTTAAATGTCAAATCTCTTATTAATAATTAATTATTTATAAAATTTTAACCATGTATAACTCAAAACAAATGTGTAGGAAACATTAATTTCAAAATCTATTTTACGATTCTATTCTACCATTTATATATTACGTTGTTGTACTTTTCAAGGTGAACTAGTTGCGATGCACGGGTAAATAATATTAAATAATAATTATAAATTAAATATGAAAGTAAACAATATTAACTAATAATTATAAATTAAATATGAGAATAAATAATATTACCTAATAATTATAAATTAAGATGTAGAGTTAATATGTAACATAATTTATCGTATATCAGTTGTAAACAATATAAAATTATCTTATATAAAATAATATAAAAATATATATGTTTAAAATATTAAAAACACCTAAAATATTTTATAGCGTATGTAAAGTATCTAAAGTAGCTAAAAAACTTTAATATCTATTTTATAATCTCTTGTAAATAAATAGCATGACTGCCAACATATATAGTGGCCAAACAAAGTTTAAACATGCCTATAATCAAAACAAACTTTACAGTTTACACCATATCACACTACAATCACTTTTAGACATGGTAAAAACTCAGTAACCAATAATAAAAATATAAATAACATAAAAAAGGATCATTTTGGCAAGAGGGTACTGTACTTTTACCCCTCAGCCCCTAAAACATGGAAAAAAAAAATAAAAAAAATGGCCCAATGAAATAAAAGGGAAAAGCATTAACATATTGATAGACAACACTATCACTGACTGTCTTATGATTAGAAATCTGAGATTTGACATTTGACTTGTCTTTTCAAGACCCTCTCTTTCTTTCTCATTTTCTTTTTCTCTTTTCTGTTTTCTCCCAAAATTTTTACAGAGAGACCCCTCCATGCCCATCTGGT